TGATCAAACATTGTCGTTTTTTACCAATTTTTGGCGGAACTCAGTTTTCAATTTGGACCATATCAGCCAAGGCAATAGTTATCGATCCAGCTAGTCCGATCTTGACTAGTATTATCAAGTTCAGATCAGTGTTTTAACTGGTGAAGGGCCTAGTCCAATCAATTAGGGGTGGCAATGGACCCGGACCTGACATGGTTCCCAGTATGGATCCAACATTTGGACCTGGCGAGTCGGGTCCGGGTCCAAAACTTGGACATGAACACTATTCGGGTCTAGGTCCGAGTCTGATTGGACCCAACCCTACTCAACCCTTACCCGTAAATAGTTGGAGATAAAATACTCCAAGCCCTATTCGTTTCGATGTATTAAGGATCATATATAATAAGAACTCATAGTCATATTTAGTTATTAAATGACAAATTAGACGACTTTAAAATGTAACGGCGGGTAATTATGACTTGGTTGCCAATAATGATGGTAAAAAAAGGGCAAAAAGAAAAAAGCTCATAGTGAGGGTGGCAATGGACTCGACCAAGCTCGGGACCCAACGGGATAGACCCGAGACTCAGCAGGTACAGGTATGGGTCCAACTTTTGGACCCAACAGGTCGGGTCCTAGTCTGAGTCCAAAACCTAAACCTGAATACTATTCGGGTATGGGTCCAAGTCTAGCCGGGTCCGACCCATTGCCACCCCTACAATCAACACCGATCCAACTGGCGGTCAAACCTTTTTCAATATCAAAACACGAGAAAAATTACTAAAATCTCAAAAATTTCATTTAAAATTAGGAAAAGAAAATGCAATCAATGAAAAGTTAGTAATACGTAAGGAGTTAATTAAATAAAAATTTTAACTAAAATTAAAAAAATCAAAACATTACATTCTAAATTTTAGTAAATTACCAAGATTCCAATGGCAAAGTTCATCGAACCTATGACACAAACAAAGTGCATTGTGTCACGTTGCTATTTATTGTTTACGATACAACGGGAGTTCTGAAATGCCACCATCCCATCTACTTTAAAAAGAAGAAAAAGAAAGCAATGTATATGACAATCTTTTGATTTATGCACTTCTACTGCATCTAAATCATATCTACAAATGGATGGTTCATGTTGCGCAAGGGAGAAGAGAAGGGGGTTGAATTGCACATCCAACTAGAGGCTTACATGGGGAACCGCACACATGCCCAGATAGACAGAGCGCACACCAGAAAAGCAATATTTTTTTGACATATTTAACCTTTTATTTTTTTAAAAGGAAAGTAATACAGCGTTCAAAATTACAATTCAAACATTCGAAAACCTTTACACTGATCATCTTGATTTGAACATTATGGCTGTAAACAAAACTAATATTTCAAGTTCTGAAAATAATATATATCACAACAAATTATCTAGACTGTCCATTTCGCTTTAAAAATAAGTGTTCACATATCCACAAGATTTGTACTATTTTTTTAGTTTCAAAATTAATCGTTGGTGTTGAAAATTGATTTTAGAACCGTGAAGATTTCCTCGGTGAAAAGTGCTTTCTAGACAAAGATTTGAGGTGGGGATTTATTTGTTTTCTTAAAGCCTAGGCTTTATAAAAACCTCATCCTCTTTTTATTTGGTACAATTCTTGGCAATTAAAAATTCTAATGCGACCAACGTTTTAAAAAATTATAAGAATAATAAATTTTATAAAATTGGTAATAAGACACTAGTTTTAGGTGGTTTTGGCCTATAGAGAACGTGGCAAGGTTAACCACTATGATACGCACTAGTAGGAAACATATGTAAGTTCTTTATTACATGATTATGAGAAGTGCTATTCAACCATAGAAACAATCTTTTTTTTTTTTACATAGTTTTAGAACGTATGTAAATTTTTTGTTGTATAATTTTGAGAAATGCTATTATGAAAAAGCTCCACCATTATGAACATCGCAGGCTATGTGAGGGTTATGGTTATCCAAATTTTATTAAGATATTATGTGTATGAACGTCTTTTTACGGATTTGAGGTTTTGGATAAAAATTAGACACCTTAGATATGCATCGAACACCAACTAGATTCATTTTTTCCTACTATTGTACAGAGACAAACACATTTGTCAATGTTTGACACAGACCTGAGGGTCGAAATACCGTACAATTGACCATTTAGAAAAGACAAATTTGCGTGACATAGATGGAGCCGACCCCAAATAATTTGGTGAAAGGCTATGATAATGATAATGATGATGGTGATATAAATGATGGATGATATATAATAGATTTGACATTAATATGCTTTTATGGCATTTTAAGTTTATCCGCAGTGCCAAAAATAACATACAAGTATTGCCAAATCTATAAGTTCATAATGCATCTAAGGTATGATATGTTTATTTTCGTCATCTGAATGATTGAGATTGCATCAAATTATATATATCTTATTACTTTTTTTTACGGATCATATCCATGTAAAAATTTCAGGGTATTGTGGATCATTAGTAGAAATGTAGAAAGTAAAAAAAAAAAAATTAAATCAAGATAACCTTACAAGTTTTAATGTTATTTTAGTCATTTTATTTTTGTCAAATTATTTATCATATTTAAATATCTAAAATTATCCACACTGAGGGTATGATCTTTAATAGAGCAGAATGACATAACATGATTCATGAAGCCGACCCCAATCATTTGGAAAAAAAGCCTTGATGTTGATGATGATCAGTGTGTATGAGAGAGAGAGAGAGAGTAGTAAGCACTTGCAAATAACAAAATAAAATAAATAAATAAATAATTAAATTAAAACAACCAAAATACTCCTAACAGTTTTAAGGCTATTTTGGTTATTTTATTTTTATTCAATTATTATTATTTTTATTTATATATATGTAATGGTGACAAATATGGACATCAACTATTTGAGCTCAATCAGATGTATAGGAAAATACTTGAATTGAAATATGAGTACTCTCAACAGTTCGATCAAGATCGAACAATTATAAAAATGCTATCCACTTATTACCGGTGCTATCCCAATTGTTCGTTTATTATATCGGACAGTTGGGAACCACCAATCACAAGCATTGATACTTTATTGGTATATTAGAAAGTTTGTGCATGTAGGGATGGCAATGAGCCAGGGAGCTAGGCCCACCCAACCCTAAAAGCTAGGGTCGGGGCCACAACAGGGCTAACCCGGTTTGGCCCTCTTGTTTTTCCTTAATTTTTCTCTTTTATTTTTTTATTCTCTCTGGAGCAGTAGCCCCGCCAAGGGCCGGCCCGTTGCCAGGCCTAATGCATGTTCTAAACCCCAAACTACAAACAAATTGCTTTCCAACTACAGATACTTTTAAGTTTTGAACCGCAATATCCGACAAAATATTCCTAATTAGATACCTTGTATCAGAAATAGAAAAGTATCCAATGAAACTATTTACCTTTACTAGAAAGTGGTCACAATTAATCTTGGTTATTGGATGTGAAATTGGGTGGTTGCATTTATTTATTGACTAAGTTCAAAGTTCAAAAGAAACTTTTTAATTTGGGTCACATTATTTTTTCTTACTCGGGTCCTTGTGGTATCACAAAAGCAAATGAGGCGGAAGCACGATGTTTATTAGAAGGTTTGAAATTGCTATGCACTTTGGAAGGGGGCATGATTATTGAAGGAGACTCGGCAAATGTCGTTGCCTGGAGTAAGAGAAAGGCCAAAATCCCTTAGAGATTGAAGACTATTTTTCATCAAATTTGGGATATTTCGTCAACCTCTATGGCAACGGTCCAACATTGTTATAGAGAAACTAATGAAGACGCCGATGTTCTTGCTAAAGGAGGAGTTCATACTCCCTCTCTATTGGTTACTTCTTTGATGTAATATTGTGTCATTGCTTTAACATCTTGTATTTTACATATGAATTAATAATAAGTCGTACGTTACCGTTCAAAAAAAAAAAAAGTCCAAATTTTTTTTCTCGAATTGTATGACACACCCACGCTACAGATTTCACATTGGATGGTTACAAATACTTGTGATATTTCTATAACAATGATAAATGGTTTCATTATATACAAGTCCATTGGAAATACCCTGTATTCTTCCACAATTCACAACAAGAGTAAGATTATTCATTCGTGCTCTGAATCTCTAAATGGTTGACAGTGTTCGGATGTTAATTAGGTTTTCGAACCAGAAAAGAGAAACTAAATTGGGGTTTCGAATATCAAAATGGATAAAGCTTCAATCCATTATAGGTTTGCAACGATGTTAAGAATAGGATCGGATTTGCCAATTCGAACCTGGAACCAATTAACAGGTTGGCTTGGTCCGGCATAGCAGATCGGATCGCAATGGACCATCCACCGGTCCAATGCCTTTTATTTGGGTGAGGTTTTACTCGGGGGATGCCTCCTTATGATGTAAAACTAAAGCATGTTTCTAAATTTTATCTTGAGATGTAGTTACAGTGTTAAATCCCTTACGATGACTTGTAAATTTGTATACGACTCGGTTTATAAAATTGTAAAGTTTAATATGATACAAATTAAGCATATTTTTAAATATTTAAAAATCTTGAAAATAGACAGCCTGATTGACTTGTTACACGATGCACTATCTTTTGAAGGTGAATTTTTTTTTTCTTTATATCCGTACATCTCAAAGTCTAGATGATCGATTAGAATATTTTCCAACTTTAGAACATTTTTTTTCACTGGAAATTTTTGAGTTGTCTGCAACACAAAGTTGCATCCTTGCGTCTTGATCAAAAGAAATTGCTTCCTTAAATAATCTTTTTCTCCTTTAATTGAAAATACTCATTCTCGAGAGGTGTCTACAACACGAAGTTGCATCGTTACATCTTGATCAAAAGAGGTTGAATTCTTAAATAATTTTTTTTCCTTTAACTGAAAATACTCATTTTCGATGTTTCATATGGTTTTATTATTATTATTATTATTGTTTAGGGCATTTTTGCCCACAGAAAAAAGGCACCTTAGGAAACGATATTTTAGAGAGGCGTAACTAAAAATTTCTCATCTCTCCAACACTCCAGTTACTAGGGCTCTTTCCCGGCGATTTTCGACGTGGAATCCGGCCATCGGTCCGCCATTGATTGAAGCCCAAGTGAGTATATTCAACCATTTTTCTGATTGTTTGATTTACTGTTGATTTTTTTGTGGTCTCCCACCTCTCTCTACATGTTCTCCAAGCAATAATTTTTTTTTTTTTTTAATGATTGAATGAACTTTGAAGTTGATGTTACTAGGGATATTTGATTTAGGGATATTTGAATGGGTTCTCTAATATTAGCGATAATTTGTTTTTAATCTAACTGTTGATATATTTATTCAATTTATTATGCTGATTTGTCAAAATAGTAAAAAGACCTCCATGAAAGAGATTTAAACATTTAAATCTATTGAAAGATATCATGAATCAGAGAATCACATTTTACTCATTTACTTCAATTTTTCCTTTTTAATATGTCTCTTTTCTCCATAATTTCGTCTGTTTTTCCCTCTTTTTTCCTTATTTTTTGATATTTTTAATTATTATCTTTTTAATTTATTACACTGGTTGGCCAGGTGAACCGGTCGGGTTCAGCCAGTCCAACTAGAGCGGTGCTGGTGCACTGGTTCAGTCACCGTTCCAGTCCTGACGAAATACTTTGCATTGACAATTAGGGTTAGAGTTCGCTTAATGGAAGGAGGAGGAGAAGGGGTTGCCCCTGCAACTTCACGAATATTTCTGGGAGGATTAGGGAACACTGTAACTGCTAACGATATAGTGAGAACCTTTTCATCTTTGGGCCAAGTCCACGGAGTTGAGATCATCCGTACAAATGGAAGGTGCTTTGCTTATATGGACTTCAACCCTTCTTCTCAGAAAGCATTAGACAAGCTGTTTAGCTCGGTTGGTTCTTGTTAACTAGTCCTCTAATTTTGCATTTTATCCTTTTGTTTTTGTTAAATTTTTAGAGCAATATATTGGCTTAGCATGTAAATTTAAGCATGTTTTATATGAATTATTTGTGGGATTCAACAGAGAATTATTACAACTACAATAGTTGCGATTATCTGATTTCGATTTGGTCATGGAGGGTTCTCATTTAATAAACAATTTATTTTGTTTGAGAATGAATTTGCTATTGGGCCATTCTCATTGGTGTTTATCTAGTGCTTATTTCATTATTTCATCGATAATAGCAGAGGTTTCTCCATTCTTATGAATTTCTAATTTTCTTTCTTGCAGTTGTTTTTTTATATTCTAAAAATTTCATTTTTCCTGTCTGACTTGTTTTATTTTTTTCATCACTTTATAAGACTAAATTACCATTGGCATGATGATTTTGAGCCCGTTTCTTTGAAAATGAGGTTATCAGTGAACCAATGATATAGCATCGTTAAAATTGGAGGTGTGACCCAAGCAAATGTTTGAGGCATTATTCTCATAAAAAAGAGGAAGAAAACTTAATGTTATTTATTTGAATAATTTACAAGTGTTTAATGAAATTTTTGGTGCTGGTTGAAATTGTAGTATAATGGGTGCACTTGGAAAGGAGGGAAATTGAGATTGGAGAAAGCAAAAGAGCATTATCTTGCTTGTTTAAAGAGGGAATGGGTGGAAGATGCTGAGCAAGAGATGATCAAGAATGCCAATCTTGATAATGACAAACCCATTGATACTCCTATAAAATCAAAAGTATTGATCAAGGAGAAGCCGGGGTTAAAGATTTTCTTCCCGAAAGTGAAAAGGGTGAGCTCCAAGCCTCCAACATGAAAAAATGTTTGTTTTTTACTTTCAGCTACTTCTGTAAGTTCTCTCACATCTTTGGGAACTGTGGAAGGATTTAGTAGTTTATTTAGCTATGATGTTAATTTGTAGAACTTTTGGTTGGGCTATATAACCTGCAAATGCATAGTTAAAGTGACATGTGAACCGAAAAATATCTAATATGTTTAGGCATTTCATGTGGTATGAACATGTTTTGTGTTTCATGGGGTATGAATATGTTGGGTTCTACTTTGTGGCAAAAACATACATAAGATTATAAATTCCATATAAAATAGAAATTTTCTATAATTATTATTGTTCTTCTTCTTCTCGTTGTTGTTATTATTTTTATTATTACTTTATGATGGCATTATAAAAGTATAACAGATGCTGAGGTTTTCAACAGGTTAAAGTATTACCATTTGCTGGAACTGGGAAGCACAAGTATAGTTTTCCACGCATGACGACTCCACCTCTGCCTCTTCATTTTTGTGATTGTGAAGTGCATTCAAAAGCACATGATACTGAAACTCAATCAGGCCATCTTAATCGTGTTGAACAAAATGGTGGGATAAATGAGGAGGAGTTGAGTATCATGAACTCTGTGATGGATAGGCTCTTTGGACATGAAGCTGCTTCAAAGTCAATAACTGGTGGTAGTAATTCAACAATAGAAGCTAAGGACATCAAGCCTTTGGATAATGATAATATAGAACTGGAAGACGAGGAGGAAGAAGATCCAGATTGCCTTGTGACCAACATAACGATAGAAGGAGAAAGAAACCAGCTGGATTCAGTGCTGAGAGATGGATGGGGAGTGGTGCCATCGAATCAGGTACTTAAATTAAAATTAATAAAAATTGTTGCATTTTAGAAAGATACCTCTAAAACGCACAAGAGAGAGGGAAAAAATGAAGTTCCGCCTTTATTTGAGTGAAGGACTGATTGAAGACTTTGGGCATACAGATGGTTTCAAGGGCCACTTAGAAAATGCAATTATTATGAACAATTTAGAGAGCCACCGTTACTTTTCAAAATCTACCAATGGTTCAAAAATATCTTGTGCTTTGCCAAATTAAAAAACGATGATGACCCTTGTTTTTTGTTTGGGAAGGCTTTCTTGCCTAAGAACTAGGGAATTCTTGGTATTTTGGTTTCTGGGAAAAGAAGAAACATATTTATGACATTTTATGCACTTATTTTGTGTCTAAAAATAATTATTTATTTTCTTTCCTTTTATGCAGTTTCAGGCATCCAGTTCTCAAAATTTGAACCCTGTGGTTCAAGATGGTCAGGAGAAAATTAAGGGAAATTTCAAATCTCAGAAAACCACAAAGCCCATTGCAAGCTCTGTTGATGTTACAAGGCACCAATCCAAAAGAAAATCATCTTCTAAGGAAGAAGACGATGACAAAGAATTGGGGTCCGTTCAAAAGAAAAATAAGAGAACCTCAGAAAATCATTCTCACGAAGAAGACCAGAATGAGGAAGCTCCTACAACTGCCATAGTTTCTCAAAGTGACAGGAATGCCGATATAAATGCCAATGGCAATAGTCATGCAAATACAAATGCAGACGCCCATGTTGATGAGAAAATGAATAAAAATATCAATGGACCTCCTGCACCAGAATCAATCAATCGTTCGTGGATGCAGAAATCCTCTTGGAAAGATCTTGTTGGAGATAAACCAAGCTTCTCTTTCAGGCTCTCGGATGTTATTCCAGGTGTTGCCCTCTCTGAAACAAAGGAACTTCCAAGACCATATAAATCAAAAACCTTATTTCGCAAAAAGGATAACAAGACTATAAATAAGGGAATTGGTAGTTTAGAGGGGAATGGCACTTTGAAATCTAAGGGAGTTGGAATGGTGAATAACTTCACACAAAATTCATCGGCTAAAGAAGTTGGAATGATGCATAACTCAAAAGAAAATGCTTCGAATGCAGGAGATAGGTTGCGTACTGATTTAAAGTCAGGGAAGAATAGCTTATCGGAGGTGAAGATGGGAGTGGAGACTATGGGTGGCGGCGAAGTGTGCACCTTTATGAGGAGTGCGAAATCAGAGAGGGAGTGGGTTAAGGCAAAGGCTGCTGTAAGTGGGTCCATAAAGACAAGAAAGACTCGGGGGAATTACAAGCAATAAGTGCTCCAAAGGTGAGTAAAATTAGGAGATTTGAGATGTGCTTTTTGTTTTTGCCCCCATCTAGTAATGTTAAGAGTTGTTGAAATTCTTATGTCATTTGTATGTTTCTTCTCACTGTTTTACTAGGAAATTTTGAAGCCAGTCTTTCTTTTATGAATCTTTGACGCAAAGAGACAATTGTTCCTAAGATATAAATTATGAAAGGCACATCAATTGCTCAAGATATTACCTTTCCGGAAAAACACAGAAAAAAAGGCGTTTCCCTTAATTTTGATGGCTAAGGATACAAGGTAGCAAATCTATAAATCAGAGTAGGCCCCATTTTTTGGGTGTATGGTTGATCCAACTAGAATCGGCTCGGCCGAGTTGGATTGAGATATGGAACCAAGTGATTCCTGTTTGACGAGGAACCATGTGGAATTTGCCTCAATTCTCTGATTTTAAGCCTATAAATTTTTTTTCTTTGTCAAACATAGCCTACTCCAACTGGTGAATCGTGCAACTCGGACCAGGCAAATCACTCAGAGCCTGCGGAGTTCGGCCCGACTCCAAATTTTGAAACATTGGTTTAAACCGCCATGAGCAAGTTTTGCCACATTATATGATGTGGAGAAAACTTATGGTTGGTATTCCTTGCCTGATGATCAAAGGGAAAATAACAAAAGCCCCCATGACTCGGCGTTCTTTACAGTCTCCCCCACAAATTTTTTTGGGCAACTTTTACTGTAAAACAATTTTAACAAAGACCCACATGTTTTTTTTAATGGCAATTTTTACTCAAAAAATAAGTTTTATTGCAAAGACCTTCAAGTCAAAAAGTCATAGCTTTTACCGCAAAGACCTCTAAGTAAAAAAGTCATAGTTTAAAGAATGAATATACCCATGTCCGTACATGAAGCTGTTACATTTTGGCATTACATTTTGGCAAATTGTCTGACTACTTTTCAAAAAAACAATATAAAGTTTTGGAAAAACAATATACCAAGTGTCAGACCGTGGCACCCTTGTGCCAGATCGAGGGCCACTATTGGTGGACCTCTTGGTCTATGTGCCAGACCGCATTTACAATATGCCGAACCGATTGGTCTATGTGTTGGATCATTCGTTCAAAAAGTGCCTTCCCGCCATAGTGAGTTGTCGAATCGCCGCAATTCAGTGTTGGACCGTCACCATAAAGTGCCGAACACTCTTTGGTGAGTGAGCATCTACGAGAATGTGATGATTTCACGTACGGACAAGGGTATTTTTATCTTCCAAACTATGACTTTTTTACATGGGGTTTTTCTACTATAAAAGCTAATTTTGGGGTGAAAGTAGCCATAAAAAAAATGGGTGGGAAGAGAATGTAAAGAAAGTTGAGGCATGGGTTTTTTATAATTTTCCCTAGACTTTTTTACTTGGGGTTTTTCTGTCATAAAAGCTAATGTGGGGTAAGAGTAGCCATAAAAAAAATGGGTGGGAAGAGAATGTAAAGAAAGTTGAGGCATTGGTTTTTTTGTAATTTTCCCATGATTATATGATGTGTAGATAATTTTTTGTTGGTATTACTAGCCATAAGCATCTATCTTCTCGATAGCAAACCGTATTTACACAAAAGAGAAAAATACTGGAAAGCAGGTATTACTGAGCTGTTCAATCAATGTCGAATAACTCCATACAGAAAATATTTTAGGTATGGGGAAGTTACATAAAATTTTTGAAGTATGGGGAAGTTCGATATTGATGAGAACAACTGCTCCGTTCTTCTAATTTTGTAAAGATTTCCTACATACATGGGAGTATCTATCCATCTACTCCCGCGGGTAACTAGGGATATTCTTTTTATCTCAATTTTTGGGGGATGTGATCTCTAAAATCCGGCAATGACCTCCCAGAGAAAAAAAAGTTTCAACTCTCATTCTCTATGTGTCTAGCAAAAAAAAATATCATTCCAAGACTGTACTTGAATTGGCCAATTTTTTTAGGGATTGATCTAGTTGTTTATGAACTCATATTTTTTTTTTTTTTTGAAAATAATCTAGTTATATTTAGATGGATTTCGAAACTTCAAATAAAAATTTTAAAAAATCCCTAGGTTAGTGTTTTGCCCGAGGGAGTAAATGTATCATAGGCTTCTGAGTGAGCATAGTATGCATGCTCTATAATTTATTAAAAAGTATGGAGCAATTCATCTTCATCATTATTTTAGCTTTTTTTTCAATTAAGTGGGATCAATTATATGAATCCTGGCTATCCATTTTGCTCTATTAAAGGTCATACTCTCAGTGTGATCATAAGTTCTTATATCTTTTTCAGATTATTTTCAACCATGTCTTTTTGGGTCTACCCTTTGCTCTTTTTAGTCCTTCCACTTGAACTAATTTGTACCTCCTAACAAGTGCTATATTTAGTCAGTGCCACACATGGCCAGCCCACCTAAGTCTACTCTTTCTCATTTTATCGTCTATTGGTGCCACGTCCAAATTTTCTCGAATAGATTTATTGTGAATTCTATCCCTTCTTGTCTTGTCATTCATCCATCTCAACATCTTCATCAACGCCACACTCATTCTATTGCTATATTGTTTTTTGTTTGTCCAACATTCCTCCCTATAGAGCAAAGCTAGTCTCATTGATGTCCTATAGAAGTTGCTTAGTCTCATTGGTATGCGCTGATCACATAAAATTCCAGTTGTAGATTTCCACTTCGTCCACCAAGCTCTAATTATGTGTGCGACATTTTTCTCGATCTCTCAATTTTCCTAGATTATCGATCCAAGAAATCGAAAGTACGGTCTTTTTTGTACTTCTTGACCGTCAACCTTAACTGCTTCATCGTCTCTACTCCTATTATTACTAAAATTGCATTTTATATACTCTGTCTAGTCCGACTAATTTTAAAACCTTTGGATTCTAGAGCACCCGTAAAAAATATGAAACAATTCAATGATAATAATTTAAAATATGGAGTGATTCCATATTGGCACTCTAGAACTGTGCCATACTTAGGCCAATAGGAGCTCTGGTTTGGTGTTTCTTATATGGAACTACCCTAGCTATTGGGAGTTTGGGTGGTTCAATTTCTAGGGTACCGTACAGCCCTAGGGGTCACCAAATATACATAGGGAGAAATAATAAATACCCCCTTCAAATTGAAATTTCTAGCCATATGACCAGATAGTACACTATTAACTCCAATGCTGTTTATATTTTTGCATCCACCTTCTAATAAAAAAAGTTTACTATTCTTTTTAACCAAAATCCCTCATTTTAACCCACATTTCCCACATTCTCTTTCTAGGCGGGTTCGACACAAAACAAGGGAGGATTTTGAACGTAGACCATCCGATTCTTGAAAGGCGCGATCTAAGAAAACTCAAATTCAAACTTTTTTCTTTTAAAAATAATCATCTAGCGATTATTAGGTGGTTGTAAAAAGTTCAGACTGAAAATTTTTCTCAAGTGTTCTAACCAAGGAGTAGGTGTACAGTTTACCCCTGTAGGGCGTAGTATATGTGCTCAAAATTAACAGTTAGTTTTGGAAAGTCCGATTGCCAGTAGCATAGCCATGCTACATGTACCACACATTATCAATGAATTTTAGAAACCTAGGAAGAAAGGGTGGTTACAACAAATATCCAACAACTGTACGGTTGAGGTTGGAGTAGTTGTTGCATTTCAATTTCAGTCATATGGTCTCTAACAACGCCATATCACCATTGATCATCGTTGACGACCGGCTGGCTTGTTCTTTTGGTTAATCAGCCCCACATGCTACACTACCTCTACTTTCTTGGAAATTTCAAGTTATTCTACAATTTTAATTTAGGGAAAAATATTTAACGGTCGAGCAGTTCACTATCAAAACACGGTTGGGCACCCATAAGAAACATAGCCAAGGGGTTTCCTTAATTTGAAAATCTTTTAATTATGTCTACTCATTTTCAATATTAATTTCATAAGAATGAAATGATTTGGGGCTTTAACAAAAGGGTTGTCTATAAAGAGACCATTTGTCTTTTGTATATGGAGATCTCAATCATTTTTACTCATTAGATGTCAAATTGGATGGCTTGGAGTGAGTCACGAAGTCCGAGAAGATTTTTTTGGATCTTTGTGTCACTCTTACCTATAACCACCCATTTTGAAATTTAAAAAACAAGAATGATTGTGACCTCCATATACAAAAGATCAACCGTCTCTTTGTAGATGATCCTTAATTCTAAATAAATATCCTTTAAGAAGAGATTCTTAAACCTTACATTTAATTAATGAAACTAGATCTAATGAAACTAGATCTAGGGTTTTCAGAGCTCAAAATCAATTTCTTTCTAAAATCTATTATTTTAGTAATGCAACTTGATTATTGTTTTTGGGAAATTTATCAAAATACCCATAATAGGCCCTTTTGCAACTATTTTAACTCAAGGCAGTGTATTTTCATGGGTAATTTGAAATTAAATTAAAAAACATGGGCAAAGCGTAATTTGATAAATATTGATTCTTTTTTTAAATAAAATTCATGATATAATCAAGACATATTTGCAAAATTTCAAGTCCAAAAACATACTTCTGAAGTGATATACTGGCTGCAGGCAAAACTGTGGACAGTGGGAAACCATGTCCATAGATCATTTTTCCTTTTGTTTATGCATGCACAAAATGTACATATTGAGGAAACTACAAGAAAAATGACAAAAGAAAAGAGAGAGAATAATTTCTTTTTAATCGGAGAGAACAAAAAATCTATTGACATTAAGCAAAAAGTGTTTTTGGAAAAGAATCTTGCAATAGTGTCCCAACAATTGAAAAGACAAGAGGATGTTTTATCAATGGGTTTTTATAGTCTAAACCACTAGAGTAAATGGAGTTTGCAGCCGGCAAGAAATAGCCACCAGCTAAATGATTATATGCTCCTGCGGGAGCACATCATCCATTTAGTACTCTGATAAAATTTATCTGATATTATGTTTAGGACAACAAATTTTGGGGTTGTCATCTCCTTAACGTAGCTATCCACCTTTAAGAAAAATCTCATGCATGGTATACGCGCTTAAATAAATAATATTAAACCCCAAAAAGGTATAGAATTAGAAATGAACAAAATTTGAGAAAATTTAGATGTGGCATCAATGGGCGTTTAGATTAAAGAGAGTAGACTTAAATGGACCGGTCACGTGCAAACCCAATAGAACACCGGTTAGGAGATGCGAGTTAGTTCAAATGAAAAGTTAAAAAAGGGCAAAGAGACAAAGAGTAGATGCAAAAGGATATGGTTAAAAGTTGTGAAAAAAGATATGGATACGTATGACTTCATTAAAGGTATGACCCTTAATAGAGTAGAATGGTAAACCAAGATTCGTGTAGCCGATCCTAATTAGTTGGCACAATATTTTGACGACGACGATGAAATGAAGACATTATCAATTTATGGGTTGGCTACATCTAAGTATTTAGAACCTTAAAATTTCTTTTTTTGTGAAAATATTCACATGGTAATTCTGAAGTGGATGTCAAAGTTGCAAGAAAGGGTGAGGTACATATGAGGTATCAATCTTAAACAATCAAAATAAAATGCACCTCTAACTATGCCAAAAGAGAAGGTTTCGGTGCCAGAAAGGCTTGCCATGGTATAAAAATCTATCATTACCCTTAATTATGATATTTAAAACTTTAAAAATAATGCAGATTGAATAGATTCATAAACTACTAAATTGTTTTGAAAATGGTTGGTTCAGATAATGCGTTATTATTTGAAAACTTTTTGTTTTGTACTTGAGGGTTTTGGAGCCGCACCTTACTTCAATAGTATAAGATTGATACCTCATATGAACTTTTTTCTTCGTGAAATCATGGGGGAAATATCCAATGTAACTAATGCTCCATACCAATGTAACCAATACTCCATAGTTGCCCATAGATCAAATAAAAATAGTGTTCCCGCGGGATTACTTTATAGCCCCCCATTACTGATCTACTAACCCCAACCACACCACCCACGCATCACACACCTAACGGTAACCGATCTCTCCAACTTTTAACCTTACACTTTCAAATTTTATTTTCCCCGTAACGCGCCGATTTTACTGTGATTCGCCTCTCTCTCTCTCCTCTCTCTCTCTTGGTGAATGAATCAAAACTCTTTCTCTCTCTCTCTCTAGAACTCTCTCTCTAGTAGAAAACATGGGGAAGAAGGGAGCAGATGATGCAAAATCAGTATTGATAGCAGAGATCTGCTCCATTTTCTCTGCTTCTCTCTCTTCTTGCAAGCACTCTAAAGCACCCAAAATTCCTTTTGACTGCTACCTTCTTCTTGGGGTCAGTGAGAGTTCACCATTTCATTCTTTTCTGTTCACTCTTAGCATTGCTTTCTCTCTATTTTGTTCATTTTCTGTTTAATCTTGGCATGGCTCTCTCTTTCTTGAGCTTTTCTTTCTCATCTCACTGCGAACAATTGCAGGTTGATGAGAAAGCAGGAGTCGATATCATCCGAAAGAACTACCTTCGACGTGGTATGCAGCACCTGAACATTAGATCAAACGCTTGTTTTCCTATTCTTTAATTGATGACTGAAACAGAGAAGCTCCCTCTCTCTCTATGCAGCTCTGCAGCTCCATCCCGATAAGAACAAACACCCAAAAGCCGAATTCGCTTTTAAGCTTGTCTTAGAGGTGAGGGAAGCACTAACTCTTATATTCACTTAGGCATTGTATCACCATCTCTCTCTCTCTGAAATCTTCTATACACTTAGGCATTGTATCACCATCTCTCTCTCTCTGAATCCGTTGTTTTAGTAATCTTTTAAGTAGTAAATACTCTGTTTTTGTATTGATCACAGGCATATGCATGCCTCTCAGATGAGACAAAAAGAAAGACATTTGATTTAGAGAGATGCAAAAGCGCCTGCAAATATTGTTTGAATCAAACCCAACAATCAAATCGCACACCCCATGACTCCCCAACAAATTTCTTCGCCACCGAGGGTCCAATTAATCTCAATCTGGCTCGTGCTAAGCTATGGAGATCCGGCGAGGGTCCACCTCTCTCCAAGAAAGAATGTAGAGAGAGAGTGAGAAAGAGTCTAGAGAGAGAAGTACAAGTGATCCAGAATAGTCTGAGAGCTTATAGAGTCCCAGGAAGAGAATCGCCCCTCTTTGACCCTTCGAGGCTCCTATTCCCTGACTACCCATACTGTAGAAGTAGTACCAATATCAAGAAAGGAAGGCCCCACTTCCTAGAGAGAGAATTTTGGCACATGATTGGCAAAAACAACAGGAATAGGAGAGAGAAACCTGACTCCCCCATCTTTGAAGGTGGACCACAAAACAGATCAATGGGTCTTAGAACTTCTTGTAATCCCAATTCAAGTTGGGAGCATTTGAAGGGTTCTCATGTCTTGTATGACCTCCAAAGCTCTTGCCCACAAGCATAGTATGCACCATGACTCTTATAAATGCATTGAATTTTGTCCTTTTTTTTTTTTTTTTTGTTTTTTTCCACTTTAGGAACAAAAAGCCATGAACGTATTTAATATAGGACACGATTCCATGAATGCATAAAAACCGTTTTTTTTTTTTGTGTTGATTTAGCCATGAAAGTATTAAATAGTAGGGAAATATCATTTAAGGGTTACAACTCCCTCTTCAAAATTATCAAGGGGTTCACATGATCCCAATTAATATTTTTTCAAAATTTTTTATTAAAATACGTATAACAAATGAAGTATCCAATATTTTACCTATATGGATTGATTTAATTTTATCCCCCTCAAAATATACATTACGGTGAGTTGGAATAGTGACAAATGTGTAAGTATTATATCGTGTATCTCTCACCGGGATTTGATATTTATTTATTTATTAAAATTTTATTTCACTTAGATACCTCGACTGAAATACATTTTGCTTTTGTTCAAAGTTACAAACCCCAAACGAGAAAGCGCATTTTTGTAATTTTGAAAGCATTTCAATACTCCTATTATTTGGTTGGGGCCTCCTAAGAGGGTCAAATTATTAAAATACCCTTACTCAAACATTGTGAATATTTTGGAGATATTTTTTTAGATATTTATTTATTTTTGGAGATATTTTGAACTAAATAAAAATTAGAAAACTAAATAAAATCTTTTGTGACCCCCGAAATGGTTTGACCCATGATGTTTCTATTGAGGAATCTAGAAATCCTCATTCTTGTGTGATTTATGAGTTGTATAAATGTCAATTGGAAATCAATGGATTTCTTACAAGTAAGCCCTTGGACCATACATGATTTAAAATTTTCAATGAAACAAGTTATATTGCAATGGTTGGTTGTTGGTTAAACATAGGACAAAGTCCACAAAAAGGACAAACTTCATGGGAAATTTAATTGGTGCATTTAAGAACAAGGTTTGTCACAACATGTTGTATACAAAGAGACATACAAAGCACGAGACTCTCTTGCTTTTTTGAACTTTTATTTTATTTTATTTTATGAATATATAAGGCTTGACCCATTGCACGAGAAGTACTATGTGTTAAGTTCTTCATTATTTTTATAGGTGCGGTTTGTATGGGCTGTAAACAGTCAAAGTAAAACACATCTTTAAATAGTGTCGAGAAGTATAGTTTTAATATTGGAAATCTTTGTTATAGCGTTAAAATATATTTTTATTTTTAATTATAAATTTTAAAATTAGTTTAGATCGAGCATATCTATGAAAACTTAAAAATTGACGGTTCAAAAATACATTACAAAATGTACTATTTTCAAAACTTGAAATCTATCTTTATCTCATGTCCATGCATCTTGAGGTCGTGATGATTAATTTGAAGATATTTGAACATCAAAATAACATCTTCTAATTCGATTGTTTAGAGCTTCGAACTTATATAAACATTTTCTTTCTATGAGTCATCCTATGTACGCACATATGTGGCCCCCTTTTAAAATCCATTTCAAAGATGCATTTTTTATCTAAATTTTTTTTTATAGATTCATCATCTGCGCCAAGATGATTATGAATACCAAAAAGAAAAATAAACTTTTAAAATTTAAAATGCAATTTTTAAATTTTTTTGTGTACCATCTGTATGTTAATTATGGACAGTACACTTTACACAACGCCCATCTTCAGGATGGATGCGAGCCCGCGGACTCACACAACACTTTTCCAGTTAAAATAACCTAACTACCAATTAAATCGATTGAAAAACATATTAAGAAAATACAAAGCAAAGTAGAATGGTCTGACCGGTCTGGTCAAATCTTCATAAACGTAGGAACAACTACCTAGAGACAAACAAGAATAATACTAGCCTTTTTTTTTTTGTAAAAAAAAAGAAAATACTAGCCAAAACTTTCATACCCCTGCTGGAGTATGCTGTCCATTTACTCCCCCAAGTAAAAACCCAACCTAAGAGTGATTTTAAGACCCCAAAATTTAGATATGTAACCTCTTCAATCAAGACATTTACCTCAATTAAAAAAAAAGAAAAAAGAAATTCAAATTGCATTTTATGTGCCCTTGAAAAAAATTAATGTCTCAAAGATTAAATGGAGACTGTCTAGTTTTTGGTAGGTGAGATCAAACCGCTAGGAAACTCAAAAAAATTCAATTTTTTATTTTAAATTTTATTATCTGGTCTTCTTAGATGGTTCTCAGAATTTCAAATTAAAGAAACACAAAAGAGTTATTGCTCCCGTAGGAATATATTATTCATCTATTCCCTCAGGCAAAACTTACACGGGAAATAACCTTTAGATCCCAAAATTGTGGGATGTGATTTCTAGAAGCTGGCAACTAAAAATACAAGTTAACTCTTACTCTCTATCTGCCTAAAAGAAAATGGCATCCCAATATTACATTAGAGACATCCAATTCTTGGATGGAATGATCTAAAAGTTCAAGAGCTCCGAATACAATTCTTTATTTTTAAAAACAATAAATCATCAAGTTATAATTAGATGGAGTCCAAAATTTGAAAAAAAAGAAAGAAAAATGATTGTAAACTATGAAACCATTTACTTTTGGTACAAATATATCACAATTATTTTTAACTATTGGATATAAAATCTAATAGATTGAAATGCATTACAACCAGTGTTTTAAAAAACGTCGAGTCGAACCGGACTCGCCCGGTTCGACTCGGAAATCGTGAAAAGGGGACCGGATCGCCTAAAAAATCGAAAATCGTCCGGTTCTAGAGAGAACCGGACGATTCTGTACAGTGAATCGCCGATTCACTGTACGGAATCGGCGAGTCCGAACAGTGAATCGACGAGTCCGTACGGTA